ATTTATTTACTAATGTTTATAGAACAGAGTTTTCATTATAATGAGCATTCCCTGTATTTATATACACTTCGTGCTCATACAAAGTATTACATTTTGCCAAGTCATCAATGTTTATGGTTTAAGCTTTGACCTTGCTCACAGAGGGTATAAACAATACATGAGAGCTTGCACCAATCAGCTTACTGCTTGATATTACTAATTAACTGCAGGCGCAAAATAATGTGAGATTGCACATGGAGATTTCGTGTTTTCGGTGAGACGAAAAAATATACCCCTTGGGCGTGTCGTTTCTTTTTTCCATTGTGGACTGTGATTAGATATAGGGAGCAGATCTGACTCCTTCTTATCAGACCCAGAAAGATGTGGAAATGTGGTCAGGTATTTGCGAAACAGCAAAAAAAAAAGTGGGAGACGCACGAGCACTTCTCCTCGCACTCACTCATTTCATTCCTTATCGCCCGATAAGATAAGTCCAGTGAAATATGGAAAATGACTGCACAGTTTTTTCATATTTCGCCTCATTTCGAGCTGAGTTCTAGTCGTAAATTTGTGCTGAATAATCGAAGCTGTGAGTGATTCAAGATAAGAGCGAATCTCTAATAAACCCTGTCTACGTGAACTGGGTCAGCCCAAGAATTAGCCAGTTAAAAAACTTTTCACCTCACTTGAGTGGGTTTAAATTAAAATTGCAACACATGGTGCCATTATTAAATTTAATTCTTCATGGTGTGCATTTTCCAATCGTACGATAATACCAATAAACCGATATTAACATTCGTTTAGATAGGGATTTTTTTTAAAGTAGTTAGATTATTCTACAAATTAGTTCAGTGGGACTACTGAAACTAATTTCGTTCTGATTTTTGCTATGCTCTTTTATTTATTCTATAAATAAGTTCAGTGGGGCTACTGAAACTAATTTGGTTCTGATTATAACTAAGCTCTTTTATATTTAGCTATGTTCCTTTTACGTTTATTATCTGCTGACTTAATGATGAATTGTACTTACTTATCATTCTCTTTCTTCTTCTTTCCAGGCTTTTGTCGCATGGTGGACAACAGCACTAGCAACAACTCCTCAGTTCTGGGTTTGCCCAGCAGCGGACATGTCAGCAACGGCTCTGGCAGCTCGGCTCAACTCGGGGCGGGAAATCCGCACGGCAACCAAGTCAACGGTGCAGCCGGCGGCGTGGGCCCAATGAGCGGCTCAGCTGTGGGCACTGGAGCAGCGGGCATGACTGCCGATCTACTGGCCAGCGGCGGTGCAGGAGCACAGGGCGGTACAGATCGTTTGGACGCGTCCAGCGACAGTGCTGTCAGTTCAATGGGCTCGGAGCGTGTGCCATCCCTCTCCGACGGCGAGTGGGGTGAGGGCAGCGACTCCGCCCAGGATTATCATCAGGGCAAATACGGTGGCCCCTACGACTTTAGCTACAACAACAATTCGCGGCTCAGCTCCGCCACACGTCAGCCTCCGGTGGCGCAGAAGAAGCATCAGCTGTATGGCAAGCGGGATCCCCATAAGCAGACGCCCTCGGCTCTGCCACCCACTGTTCCGCCGGCGGCTGCGACTGCAGTCCAATCACAAAGCATTAAGTACGAATATGATGCTGGCTATGCCTCCTCGGGAATGGCCAGTGGTGGCCTCCCATCTGAACCAGGAGCGATGGGTCCCGCTCTAACCAAGGACTACCATCATCAGGCCTATGGCATGGGAGCTAGTGGTAGCACTTTCTCCGGAGACTATACAGTGCGACCATCGCCTAGAACTTCGCAGGACCTGGTCCAACTCAATCACACCTATTCGCTACCCCAGGGAAGTGGCTCCCTGCCCAGACCCCAGGTGCGCGACAAGAAGCCCGTGGTGGCCACTAAGAACGTATCGAAGGGGACGAGTGCCGGCAGCAGCAGCAGTGCCGGCGGAAGCACCAGCAGCATTGAAGACGAGCATCTTACACGCGATGAGAAGCGTGCCCGATCCCTTAACATACCCATTTCTGTGCAGGACATCATCAACTTGCCCATGGACGAGTTCAACGAGCGGTTGTCCAAGTATGACCTCAGCGAGAACCAGTTGTCGCTGATCCGGGACATTCGGCGGCGGGGCAAGAACAAGGTGGCTGCCCAAAACTGCCGCAAACGCAAGCTAGACCAGATCTTGACCCTCGAGGACGAGGTAATTGCGGTGGTCAAGCGCAAGACGGAGCTGAATCAGAACCGCGATCATTTGGAGAGCGAGCGCAAGCGCATTTCGAACAAGTTTGCCATGCTGCATCGTCATGTCTTCCAGGTTGGTTCAAATCATATTTTAAAAGCTGTATAGCGATTTGATTTTTACATTTTTTAATTTTAATTTTATTTGTGCGAATCTAAACTAACGTATTCCTTTCTTTTACAGTATCTGCGGGATCCTGAGGGCAATCCCTGTTCGCCGGCGGACTACAGTCTTCAGCAGGCTGCCGATGGCTCCGTGTACTTGTTGCCCCGGGAAAAGTCCGAAGGAAACACCACGGCCACGGCTGCCTCAAACGCAGTTTCGTCTGCTGGCGCAGGGAGTTTGAATAGCCATGTGACCGCCCAGGCCCCCATGCATGGCCATCACAGCCAGCACGGAATGCAGGCGCAACATGTGGGAAGTGGACTGTCGCAACAGCAGCAGCAGCAGTCGAGGTTGCCGCCTCACCTGCAACAGCAGCAGCAGCTTCATCTGCAGTCGCAGCAACAGCAACCGGGAGGTCAGCAGCAACAGCAGCACCGCAAGGAATGAAAATACCTGTTGCGAATTGCCGCAACTAAGAGTTGGTTCACTAACTTCCAGCGCGAGCAGCAGCATCGATCCGAGTGGCAGCAACAGCAGCAACAGTTCGATTATCACTACGACATGATGAACAACAGTTACCTGTACTACTGAGCGGTGACTTGGTTATTCTTCTTCTGAACCAGCTGCAACGTGTTGCTGGCAACATTTGTTGCACCTGCTGCTGGCGGCCAATTGGAGCTGCATCATTCATCGCACCAATCCTCCCATTTATGGTTTACTTATTTAGTCAGCATGATTGTTATTTATTTTTTAATTAATTAATTATTTGGACTCGTCCAGAGTCCATCTTGCAAGTTGTTTTCCCTTCCGGAGAGCGCATGCGAAGCCTTCTACTTAATTGCAATTACTAAAAACATTACTTGTGATAAATAATCAGTTTTTCAACTACGAATTCTTGGCGCCCGCAAAACGCAAGCTGACAGACAAATGCACAGAAAGAAACAGAACCGAAACGAATAAAATCAAATATGCTTGAAATAAATTTGTAAATCAAAAAACACCTCACATTCACAATCAAACAAACTCGCCCATTACTTAGAAACACATACTCCAACAATATTTGATTGGAAATCGTTCACTTCTCTATTATATTAGAAAAAAATGTAAAATAGTAAAACACAGAGAAAAATTGTATAAAATAGATGATAGGCACACACACAAAATCGATTGTAAAGGTTGGGAAATATTGCTGGACATTTCATGAATTACACCCGTAAGACACTTAGTTGTTAAGTTATCATCTAGTGAGAGATCTACCATAGCGGTACATAATTGTAAATCGTTCTAAATTTATAAGGCATTTATCAAAATCCCATTCACAAAAAATAACACAAACTAGCGTATCATTAGCATCTGTAAATATATAATTTAAACTTAGCTTACATTTAACCAACCAGCGCTAAGCTACAGCAACTTAGAGTTTGCTAACAAACCAGAAAGAAACTAAAGAAAAACTAAAAAAAAAGAAACGGAAACAAATACTAAACAAAAACAATTGCTCTAGCTAGGGCGGCCCTTTAACTGTCCTGGTAACGGTTTAGTCGATAAGCGATTAAGAGATATTAATATTTAATATTCTTAAACATGTCCTACAGCATAAAGAGTTTAACTTTAAGCTAAGCTACAGCTATACAGATACATATACGATATCAACTTAAACAGATCCGCTACGAAAACGAAACAAAAATCTATTGTTAATATAGGCATATGTATTTTAATTGTTGTAATGAATTTCGCGCACATATAAAAGTCGATTGTCGCAAGTCGAAAACGAAAACTTCGAAATTCTATAAAACTGCGCAACTTCAATAAAAGAAATTGTTTGTTGTAAATTAAAATTGAATTAATTACCTACTATTGTACTACTACGCCTACGGACATAAAAAATATATAAAAAGAAAACTGTTTGAATATTCTATTAACATAAACTTTGATAAGAAGGGTGCTCAGATACCATCAATGTCCTTGAATGTCTATTAAAAGCTTGCAAGGATCTCTGAGCCCCTTTGACCAATCCCCTGTACTTGTATGTCGCTATATATTTGTGTATGTTTCATATGAGAAATTTGTATGCTTTAAAAATGATAAACTTTCCCTCAGCTAAACAAAGAAAACGTCGAAATTAAAGAAAAAACACTAAAAAATACAACTGACTTTTGAGTTTTATTGCATTTATTGGGAGGCTGAGCATCTCAAATTTTGTATTTCCCTGTAAAAATATCTAGTTAAGGCCACGCTTTACTTGTTCAATAGGCTTCTCGCATGTGGAACGTATTTACATGGGTTCCACTCGCTTTAACTCTGGTGCCTTGACTCGGAAATTAATTGACATATCTTGTGGAATTCACATTAATCTCAGTATTCCACACCTTCAACCCCTTTTTTTTCAAATATCGACCAAATCTGACCTTGTTTTTTGTTCTCCCTATTATATAGATATTACTGAGCCAACTTTTTAGAGGTATATCATGTTGATAAACTTATGGCTTGTGGAAACTATTTATTTACCATCCAATCGCAATACCAGAGTTTGGTAATTATGATTAGATTTCGTGTTGTTATACAATTTGATTGTTCTAGGTTCTGAGCGATATACCTTGTGGATATCGGACTTTTAGTATTTTCCTTAATCCAGTAACATGAGAAACCCAAATAAAAAGGCATCAGCAATTTTCTCTTCTTTTCATCTTAAGATATATTCTCCATATTCATAATCTGGGTGTCGCTTAAAAATAAAATACATCAATCAATCATTCACATACTCATACAATTTTATTGTCCACTCATTATAATAATTGAAGCTCTTGTTTTTGAAACAGTTTTATTGTTTTAAATTTACATTTTCTATCTCATTGGAGTGAGTAATATTTAATCATTATTATCGGGTAAAAGGGAATTTACAATTCCGTTGCGCCTTTGCATAAATTTCATATTCATTTCATATTCAGTGAGCTTTTTAAACATTTCTCTAGAGGTCTAAGCTTACGAGGAAGTTGCAGCATTTTGGTTTCTGTGTCTCACATCTTACTTTGCGGTAATATCAATTCGTAACTTAACTATAGTAAATTCAATACAAGTAAAGCTAACAACATGAACCATTCATTAGCTTAGCCTATACATGTACAATTGTTTCAGGGGTTAGTGGGTGGGTGGGTAACAATCAGATTGCCTCCACTTCAGCAGGAAAGGGGGATTTTGACGGGTGTTCACAGCTGCAGCAGCTCTATGGCTATGACAGATGAGCTCTCCATGGAATCTCGCTTAGCTTAGTTTTAGTTAGAATTATGGTGGGAGACTACGCTTAACTAGAATACAACATCAGTTAACTGACGGCCAGGGCAGGGGCGCCTCTCAATTAATAATATCAACAAATGGAATCGATGGGCAGCTGGTCCTGCTTGATGCTCAGCCGACGGGGGTTCGACTTGTGCCTACCACCGCCGCCTCCTCCTCCGCCAACATGGTTCCCGGAGCCGGCCACAATGGTGATCCCTCCTCCGGGTCCGCTGGCAGCACTTCCTCCTCCGGTCAGCGTGCTCAGACTGTTGTTATTGCTGTAGTTGCTGCTGTTTATGGAATTGCCGGAGTTGGTCTTCTCGTTAATACTGGATAGGTTGGGGATGCTGGGCGCCGTCGTTGTGATGGTCAGGCCACCCATGGTGAACGAAGCGCCGTGCTTGTTGTTATTCAGCGGCTCCAGCTCGCTGGCCAACACGCCGTTGGGTATGGAATGGGAGCGTATCTGCAGGCGGCCCGAGTCCAGCGATTCGTCGCTCGCCGGATCCAGATGATCCACCGAGGCGGCGGAGGCAATTCGCTGAAACAAGCTGGCCGAGAGCGTGCGATCCGCAAAGGATGCATTCACACCTAGGCCGGGACAGCTCTTGGCGCTCTTTGTGTACTCCGACTTGAGCTCGTCCAGCTGCTTGGCACTGCACAGCGGCGTATCCACGTCGTAGGTGTTGTTGAATAGCGTGTAGTCCACCTCGTACTCGCCGGTCTCCTTGCGGAAGGACACTACATTCACGAAGCGATGGCCCCACAGCACCTCTGAGGGCAGATAGCTGCTCCTGGCCTGCGTGGTCATGCCAGTGGACTCGATGACACCCTCTGAAATGGTAATAAGATTAGTTTACATCTTGGGAAAGTGAATAAAACCAAACTCACCCAGCATAACCACCACTTCGAAGCGTTCCTTCAGCATATCCGAGGCGGACAGCATGTACAACGGACTATTCCTATCGATCTTGTGCACTATGGTCGTGGGCCAGATGAACATCAGCCGGTCCTCGCCACCGTCGGCTCCAATATGCAGCTCCTGCTGGTAGAAGGGCAGCACTTCGCCCTCCTTCGTCACCTTCTTGCGAATGATCTGGGCCCGCACATGAGCCTCGATGATGTGCGACTTGCGCATGTCGCCCACGCGGAACATCAAACACGGAACTCCATCTCGGTGGCAGATCACAGCGTTGCGGGAGAAGAGCAGTGTCTGGGCACGCTTCTTGGGTCGCGACAGCTTGGCAAACACAATGCCCACCATAAACGCCTGGATGAAAACTCCTGTGATGCATTGGATGCACATGGTGAATATGGCTTCCGGGCACTCCTCCGTCACATAGCGATTGCCATAGCCGATCGTCGTCTGGGTTTCCACGGAGTACAGAAAGGCGGACATCATGTTCGACACCGACGTCACACAGACCGTGTGCGTCATATTGGCCACCAGATCCGGCGACGTATTCTTCAGCTGAGTGTACTCCAGGTCGTTGTGCGCATAGGCGATGATCCACCAGATGAACCCGAAAAAGGCCCAGGAAAAGACGAAGCTGGCGGCAAACACGAGCAGCGTCCAGCGCCACTGAGCGTCCACCAGGGTGGTGAAGATGTCCTGGAAAGGAAAACAAATCATTTCGAATGTCAGTATGGGAATATTACAAACTAAAGTAAAAAAGTCTTTAAGCCACTTCGTTTAATCGGGGTTTGGAATAGATTTTAATTAACTGTTTACTAATATTAACTTATTAAATTAAAGATGTTTTGTAAAATTATTAAATAGTAAATATGGAGAAGTCATGTTTAAACGTTCATTTTAAGTTTAAGAAAATTAACTACGAGAATTAAGTATGCACATCAATATGTTATTATTTTAAGAATCTGTCAGTAGATGGCAATGCAAAGAACACAATTGTAACAAACATTGAATCAATTTACATAATTGCCACCAAAGCATTGCGGCAAGCGTTATGCAAACCAAGAAAAAAAGGGAGCTAAATATATCACACACAAATCGAACGCAAGTGGGCCTCCGACTAGATATAGCCACGCACTGCCACGCCCCGTAAATCCCGCCACCCACCTGCAGATATCGACGACGTCTTTTGGCCACGTTTCCCTGCACAACGTTGCACTCGCCATGCTTGAAGACCACACGTTTTCTAACACGCCGCGAGCTGAAGCGTGTCTGCCGATACCTGAAACGGAACAAGAAGATATAGATTGACATATTAATATGGCACATAAATAGATGCAAGCGACTTATTGGGTAAGTGTTCGATTGGGGCTTTCGCTTTCTAATCCAGTGCAGCTCTTATCTATTCCGGATGCCTTTACACAACCTTCAAGTGTTCAATATTTAAGTATTTGCATTTTCGATAAGAACCACCCCTGTTTGTAAAACTGTTTTGTGTGTGGAGAACTTTTTCTTATCAAAAATGCAATTTGAGCCCGAGGTTTGATTTATATTATGAAACATAAGAACTGAAAATCTAATACATTTAAGATGATGTATGTATACTTTCGTTTAGCAAATAATAAAAAAGGATAAGTTTAATCTTAGTAAACTAAAACGTAAATGATGTTTTAAAACTATTTTTAATATATGGATTTAATTATTTATAACAACATTGAGTTATTTTTTACTATGCATCTGATACTATTGATATAGTTACGCCCACAATTTGACCATAAGCAACAAAAAAAGGTGAGTATAATTGTTTTTAAAAACAATTTTAATAATGTCGGAATTTCATGAATATTTTAGAAACCTTGGATTGCTTAATTTTTAACACACCCTTTATAACAATAAGAAGAAGTACAATGCACGTATGTATATGTCGGCCGATAAAAGCCGGCCTTTGTTCGGATTGATAAAGGATGGCAACAACAGGAAGTCACAAGACAAAAAACCACTGACGGTTGTCTCCGCCACCTCAACCCGATAATACCAATAGGCATCGGCTATGCGATAGTATCTGATTAATTTACCAAATCATAGCTTGGAGCAATATGCTCGAAAAGCACACTACAAACACCAGACCGATAAAGAACAGCATGGAGAGCACTTCGTGATTGTCAGTTTTTGATTCTTCGGGGATCTAGATCACTTTAAATTCACTGAAAAGTTTAGAGGTAATCAATTGTTAGTACTAGATCACTGCGATCACCGAGGAGAGGGAATTTAGATTATGTTCACATTTTTGATACTACGAGTACCATGGAAAGTTTGTGAATTATCAATTGCTGATACAACGGGTATTAAGAATAAGCAAAAGCAATAATAATATTTGTTCTTTCTACGAGTACCAGAGATCTACTAGATCACTTAGGAAAAAACTTATTAAGGGACCACGTTCGAATTAGTACTGAAAAGACAAATCGTCGTCTTCGAAAGCCGCGCTCTGAATCGGCATTAACTGTATTAATCGCTAACTATAAGCGCTCTCCTTTTAGCAGCTGACTTTCGCAGTTTTCATTTCACTTTGCTTTACATTGATATTTACATGTTTATTTATATTTCGTTTTCGATTCATTTACACGCTTTATCAGTACAATTTGCTTTGTGCACTGAAATATGCAAGAGAATATATGCAAGAGTCGCCACACAAATCGGGGAACTGAGAATGAGCTTTTAAGCGATTATCAATTGTTCCAAGTGGAGCTTGAGCGGATCGCTAGAGGTGAAGTTCATTAAATTAGAGGGTAAGAGGTGGCGATAAGGAGGATCCAATGGCATGTTTGAATCAGAAACCAATCGAGTTGCTCCAGACAAATGGATTCGAAATGGTAATTTGTATGGAATCAATCATTCTCATTAGGCATTTTGGTTTGGTCATTTCGTTATTTTTACAGAAATATTTCGACCCAACTGCAATTTAAAACGTAATGCTCAATGAGGAAAAATATTGTTTATAAAAATATTATTTAAATTGGCGCAAGCCAAAAACAAACTGAAAACGAAAAATATTACGAATTAAATAACTAGTATTATAAACAATCATATAAAATATGACCAATATGTATATGTTGTCAAATAAGTGTTAATAATATTTTTCCGACGTACTGATAAGTAATCAAACTGAATCATTAAAATAATCACAATTTTGCATTAATAACAATCTTAAGATTATTTCTTCTTCCACAAAGTACTCAATGTGTCATCGAAATAAAAATATAAAATTATTATAGGACTTTTAATGTAAGAGTCAACCCGCAAAATAATAATGAGAACTACAAGCTACTCAATTAAAATTGTAATTAATTTTGACGTCAATTGAAAAGTAAACAGACATAATTGTTTTAATAAATGAAGCCAAGTCAACGAAGTTTGGTGCCATTGCAGAGCATAGCAAAAGATTCACGAAAAGTATCTTTTATGAGTCATCGGCATGAATGATTGTACAACCTCATTAAAAATAAATCAAATTGATAAAACATAAATGTAAGAGAAATTCCCAGAACAGTGAATTCTCCCAGACGAAACTCAATAAAAATTCGTAGAAATCTCCGGGCGACAACAGTGCCATTAGAGTTCATTATTTTAAATCTGATGTTTGGCTCATGCAAATAAACCGGCTCACACAGAGTGCCTCATTGTTATTGTTATTGTTTGGTTGATAATCGTTTTTTGTTTTGTTTTTTCATTTTGGTTTGCCAAATGCAATAACTGGGGGAAGAACCGGTTGGCGTCGAAAGGGGCGAAGTAAAACAAGTTCAATGGAACGGGCGACACATATGAACTAATGCGTCAACTCCAAACTGGCATGATATCAGCTGATATTTTAGATTTACACAGATAGGGAAGTGAGTGAGAAAATGCTTTACTACATTCAGGGGTTATCTAACAATCAGAGGCCAGATAAGCGGTCCTTGGGTTATGGCCTGCAATTAAAGCTCAACTTGTGAGATAATCGAGGCAATTGAAACAAAAACCTCAAAACAGAACTAACCTTGGACAAGATGAACTCGACAAAAGGTGGAGGGCTGGATGGAGGTGATACCCCATCAAGTTTTCCCGATAGTATTTCAATCATCTGGCTAATGGCCAACAAAATGTTATTCAGGCTAATGCAATTGGGCCATCTGGTGTTGCAATTCTGTATATCGAAGGTGCAAATAAGTTGACCATGGTCATGATCATAATCAGAACGGATCGGTTTAGATCGTGAAGCACCAGCGATTGACGTCATTGATGTGGCTTGAAGCTTTATGATGGCCCAGAGGAAATGCATTCTGGGGAGTACTTTATGGTATCCCATACATATTCATCAATATATATAGTATTTATAAGCAGTGTGCTGCAATTGATGTCCATAAATCAAAGTGAGACTGCTAGACAGTTACAGTACAGCACGTTTCGTAATCGAAAGGCGAGTTGAATTCCATCTAATTCCGGCAGCCCCATTAACCTTAAACATTGATGATTCAATATTTCCATGTAATCTTTTTAATACTTTAAGTTACGATAACTAAAAAAACATTATTTATCTTTGAGTTACCTGTACAGAACGTACTATAAATGATTATTTCCTCATTTTTGTTGCTTTGCCAAAATTAAAATGGCAAGAGCGAAAGAATAATTATGAATCTGCATATGTGCGCCATAAGTTGTCAACAGGCCACTTGGCCACTCATCGAAATCGTGAACAGTTCTTAACCAAAGATAAAAAAAAAAGATTGCAGAGAACAAAACATCCTTTCTTGGGTTTTATATAAACTTTATATATAGAACGGATATTTTGTGCATATATCAGCAGAGGTTGCTGTATCGCCAAATAGCAAATGGAAACGCCTTTCAGGCAAATATTTATGCCTTGTTCGATTAAACATTATAAGTCGGAATGCGCAGATGCATATATAGTATAGATATATACCTATACTTATGTACATCTGTTCACATGTTTTTATGTATAGCACTGAGATCGTAGCGAGTTCAGCTGTTTAAATAACCTTCAAGGGTGACTAGGTACCTGTAAACCATAATGAAACTACGATAAGTTATGGAAAGTGATCTTTGGACTGCACAGAACGATGCATAAGTTTTTGTAGAACCGGAATCGTGACTAGATTGTCACAGAATATTGTTATAGGAAATGTCAGCAGAAGTTTTTAATAATATATTCCATATTATGATTCTGCAGAGAACTTCCACAAATATTAAAGTACAGTTTCTCAATATGTATGACTATTTAACAAACATAATACTGAGATGGCTATCACATCAGAAATGTGTCTTTTAAACCATCTAATGGTTCTTTTAAATCTAAACTGTCTTATACTCTTTACAGTTCGTTACACTTACAATTACATCTTTATAAGCAAAACGTTCCTTAAATTTCACGCTCACTTTGGTAAGCCACACAATTAAGTGATAATCTTCGGACAAATCGGTGATGGGTAATCGGTCTTTTCTACCTGAGATTTACCTGAGGAGCTCTTCTCGCCACGACTGTTCGCTGGAATGAGTGGCTCTGTAGACGATCATCGAGAGTCGACTGAAACTGCGACGCAGCTCAGACATCTTGGGGCCTTTGATCGATTGTCCTGGGATCACAAGAGTTGTTCAAGCGAACAAGGCAATACTGTTGGTTGCGATTGATTTAAAGTACATAAGTGTGTGATGTTTTTTTTGCTTGTTTTTGGCAAAAAAAAACAGATAAAAAGGTTTTCTCTTGTTCTAGTTTGTCATTGTTATAAAAATAAAGCACAGGCAATGTTTCAGCAAGAGGCGACGACGGGCGGAACAGCCCAATAAATCACAAAAACGAGATCGCAGCATTTCGAGGGAGTCCAAATAAAACTCTCGGTTGCCAAACTTTCAAATTGAGCCACTTTTCACTTTGCCGGTAGCCCGGTTAATTAACTTGTAAAGCGCGTAGAATTTCACGGCTTTTGTTCTATTTTTTGTTGATTTTTTTTTTAACGATATTTGTTGGTGGTGTGAACTGCGCGATCGAACAACTTTTTGCCAACTGTCGGCGAGCAAATTGAAATTCGCCTTCGTCGCTGCAAACAAAATTCAGTGTTGATATTAGTCCCCGGACCGCTCCCCCGCCCCCTCCATCAATATACATGTTCTACGCTCACTGACAGCAGAATAAGTTGTTGTTGGGCTGAGCGCCTCATTTACTCATTTCACCTAATTACACATGCATGTATGTACGTCTGACTGGTAGCTATAAACAATTGGAATGCCAGTTCCTATTTATCAGATACCCCGCACCCACACAGCCACACGTGGCTATCTATTTGCCTCATTAACGGTGTTTGCCCGCGATTGACACATGTCACACCTGATGGATCCCAGTTTTCCATAACACCAATTGATCACATATTTGTGCGATTTTAATAGAATAAAACCCTATTATTCTGCGTCAATTATATGTATGGAAATGTTTTGTCTTAGCCAGCGATTTAATTTTGAAACGCAGAAAGCGACATATATGTGTGGCATATAGAATATGCTCTGACTTATCCCCCATGAACCGGTTCGGGCTGCCGCTGCCTCGCACTTTGCTCGTTCAAAAATAGCCAGAATTTCCCGCATGGGAAATACCAATACAGATCGTTCGAAAGTTGAATGAACCAATTTTGGGTTGAAACGATTGGTCTTCAAGGAGTCAACTCCAATGGCACCTTAGTTGGTTGCCTATCTCGGGTATCCACTGTGATCTATCTAATCTCAACCAAAACAAAAAAAAGTGCGAAAAAAGATTGCTGACCAAAATGGAAAGAACCCGTCTGAGCCAATAAGACCCATGAGTAATTTCTTACAGCGAAAGAGGGCCGACTAAGATGGCCCAAAGCAACTGCCACCTGTTATCAACCATTATCCAGTGACGTCAAGACTGTGACGCATCTCAGCCAGTAATCGCCACATTTGTAGTCAAGTGTTGATATCGGTGTAAAGATATACAATCTTATAAATATGTCCGGTCTTATATGGCGGCGATAACTATGACTAAACGGTTGACAGTCCAAAGGCAGTATGGTTATTTTTGGTAGCCAGCAGTAGTCAGCGAAAGATTCCACAAACTTATGAGAAGATCATAAATGTCCAAATGACTTACTTATGGGTTGTGATAGCCCAAACCTTGCGGCTCTTTGAAAGGTTCACTGACTCAACATCTAAAAGCATTCTAGTGCTCATAATACGTTAAGAAGGTTATTTTTGGTTAACATACTTTAAAGAGTGTCGAGCTAGAGCAGATAAACAAAATCTATTTGTGTAGGAATTTAAAGTACGAAAATAATTAAGAAATTTAACATTAAATAGAAATTCAATAATCCTTCAAACGATTATTTCCAAATTATATTTGATGTATCAAAACAAATCGTGCCTATCAATCGATCGCTAAACGTTTATAATTCTCATTATATTCAGAAATTCCCCAACTAAATCTTAAAGGAAAACATTAATTTTAGAGCCCGCTGAGATATTATTAGCTTTGTAGTCACGCTGGGATCGTGTGTCTTGGGTAAACCAGAGCAAACAAATTGAGCAACCAATTAACACATCTATTTATCAACCACATTTTGTTAAGATATTGCCGCTGATTGTGTCTAGTAAGTTTCCACCTTGAATTGCGATCTCAATTAGTGTGCAAATAAAGAAATTAAGCTTTCTTTTTCTTCCTCAGTTCTCTGTAAATACCAAACAGATGTCTCAGTTTAAATTTTAGCGCAGAAATGTGAAACAGCGGATATTTGCATATGAAATTATCAGTGAAATGTTCATCATTAACTGGAAAAGTATTGACAAATAAGCGGGACGGATGTATCAGTGTCTGCCATGATCGCCAAGCGTGTCTTAAATGAGTCATTTGGCACATCCCGAGATATGTATGTACAAATTTCGGGGCCTAAGCCAAGCCCAAGTTAAAGCCGCAACCCCGATTCCAGGTGCTAATGTGCAGTCGGTGGAGAGGGGCCTTATCATTCGCAATTCCGTTTATCTGGCGTAATCGCGGCCCGCGGCGGCACACTTGTAAATAATACCAAGAAGAGTACACAAGAAATAAACTGGGTAAATATTATGGCCATGTGACCAACGGGACGGGCCATCTTGTCAGCAGGTTATTTTCTCAAAAAAGTTGCCCAAGAAATCCCAAAAAAAAGCGACTAGAAACGATGAGCATGCGCCGCTTGTTAAGCTAATGATTACACGCTTTCTGCATCCCAAAAATGCCCGGTGTAGTGTACAGTCTGCGCAAAAGGTGCGACACGATCATCAGTTTATGGCGCTGGAAAGTGGCTTTTATTGTTGAAAGTTCCAAAATTGGTGGAACATTTATTGCCAATTTATGGCATTGAATGAAATTGTAAGGCTACCCACTTTTACTTTTACTGAGATACAGAGTTTTTTAAATGGCTTACTTGTGGAGGTTAGTGTATTTGGCATAGTAATTAACAAAAATGAAAAATACCTGTGGAACAAGCTAAAACCTTTATCCCTTTAGCTTAATTATAACTTGTGAACTTATTAAAAAAACGTATATGGTGAGTTTGTTAAGTACAGCCAATTCAAAAGTACAAATCGTAATAAAAATAAAAACTAAATTTTAATTATATAAAAACAAGTGCAACATTTATTGGAAATGTTTTTAATGACCCTGAATGAAATTATAAGTCTACTCCAGGTATTTATTACTGTTATGACAACTTATGCTCTTTAAGTGAATTTTTATTTAAATATTTACCCAAATATAATTTAAATATCACCCTAAGCCTTGACCTTCTTCGCGGTAACACCTGAAGATCCCCAGATAAGCAATTTGCTGATATCTTTTTTTAATGTTGGTTATCTTTGGCGGCTAAGACCTAATAGTAATAAATTTTGGTCAATACAAATAGACCGCAAGCTTTTTAAATTGAACAAACAAAGGAGTGTGCAGCAAACTCGAATATCTTAAGGTCTTAAACAGGTAGAAATCCTTTGGCAAGCCCAAGTGTTTTTTTTTTGTCGTCTGTGGCATATCGCCAAATTGGTAAATAAATGCACGTTAAGCATTTCTTACTGGCCTCCGATTTATTCATAAAGGTAAATGCCGGCATTTAAATTCCGTGGGCGAATAGTACAGAAAAAGAAAAACTGATACGATTCGATGATCTTAGAATTTATTTTCAGCTATATAAAAATTATCCAGACTATTTTAGAATTTTCAATTTCATGTTAAACTATAATTAAATATATAAAATTAAATTGATACTTCAGCTATGGCATTTCATTTAAAAATATCATAGTTATTTTGGAATTTTTGTAAATGTCTACTGTTTTTTTCTGTGTAGATGGGTGTGAGCGGAACAGGGTCATCGGGCTTCCTGAGAGAGTGAGGGAGGAAAAGAGAGATCCCTTGCGTGGGATCCCATGTGCCACTCTTATACACCAGACAGCAGCAGCTGATGCAGCATTGAATTATAAGAGTTTGGTTGCCATGCCGGTGCCTATTATATACATTTGTATGTACGCCTTTGTTTTGTTTTTGTTGACTTTTTTTGGCCGTACTGTTCTCTATATGCCACATACATATATACCTATATCTATATAGTACAAGTACACTGCTATATTTTATCCCATGTGGATGCGTCGCCTTGCTCTCTGTCACAAGTTCACTCTGCTCTCGAGTTCAATGCAAGCTAAACTAGTTTTGTTGTCATTTGATGTTTCTTTTGTGGCGGCAAGCACGTGCTGCTTCTTCTCGACTTGCAAACAATGCAATTGGAAACCTGTCCATAAACTTAAAGCCACATGCTTGAAATCGTTTAGTCAAGACATGGCCACATTTGCATGACTTTTACACAGACAAAAAGAAGACAATATGTTTTATAAAATCTGATATGATCTGAAGAAATTTTGTAATAATTCAATTTGTATATTATGAAATTATATCAAAATTTTAAATGGACTTGTTATTTAATTTTTTATTTTATGAATCTATTGCGTTGTAAATTATATTTATATCCTAATAGACGATTCATTTTGTATTATTACCTCTTAAAATAAATGAACCATCTTATAGATGACTTTTTTATCTGTATGAAAACACCAAACATAACAAACAAAGTTGCTAAGCTATTTTGTTTTCAACTATTAGATTTTTTTTTAGTTTTTCTAGAATGATATATTATACATTTCTGATTCATTTGAATAAAATTATGTATGAAGTATGTGATGAAAATATGTGATAGTAATTTTTTAGATTTAAAAAAACGGTTAAAGCTTTGAAAATAGAGTTCAAACTGACTAACTCTATTAAATAGGGATGAATTTGCTAGTGTGGTGAGTGTACTTTTGCCACTACCAACTTACTCGTACATGGCATCCACGAGATCGCGCTCCCAGGTCATCAGACGCTTCATAATGGCCAAAAGGAATTGCGTGGTGTTACAATTGGAAACTCGGGGACTTCACTTGGGATTCTGCACTGGCAGTCGAAGCACGCGCCGCTGCGTTGTATAACGCTATGTAAATTTGCTGTTTCTGTGGCGATTTGGCGCTCTCTGTTTTGTTTTTATGCGATGGCAACTGAAATGTAACGGCAACAGCGCAGTCGGCAGAAATGTTGAGTTGACAGCTCCTCCACGCGGCGAAAAAGCAACAACAAATAAAAAGTTCGCGGCAACCTTGGCTACAGTTGCTGTTATTGTTGGTATTATTATTTATAATTTGTGTAGTTGTTTTATTACAATTATAATGATTGAAAACAAAAGATTCGAGCACTTTTCAGATTAACTTTAATACTGTTGACGGGGCGGATGACGTTATCGTTGGATAAACGCGTGTGTGTGTGTGTACTGTGAGGCAGGTTTCGGTTGAGGTTTTTATTTTTGCGAACTTTTTTATGTATTTTCAATATTTATGGGTTATTTATTCTCCCTTTCCTTCTTAATTTTCGTTAGCTCTTTATCACAAATGCGTTCTTTTTGTGGTGGGAAAGGCAAAAATGGTTTTTATTTTGAAATAAACAAAGGCGCGCATAATTTTTTTAAACAAAACGCTGCAGACAGCGGTTACACAGTTGGTTTTTATTAAAAATCTGTCACTTTATGGCTAACGGTAAACGGTAAAAAGTAAACAATAACAAAACTGTTTTTAACTGTATATTTTTTACCACTGAGGAAATAGTGGCACGAAGTGCGTTTTAAATAGTTCTCCGTTTCTCTCTTTTTGGGGATCTTGCAACGAAAGAGAGAGCACGCGGTGTAGCGGGCCAAAAAGAGCGAGAGCGCGGCGCAGGTGTATAACTTTCTGCGAAGACGGCTGAACTCAAACTGAAACGTTCGGTTGACAGCTTTGTTGCTTTTTATTATTTTGAGTTTAAAGTGGAAGACGCGATAGCAGCGGAGGCAAAACCAAAGGCAACGCAAAAGCAAAAGCAAAGCAAACACAGAGTGACAACAGCGTGTTGCTGAAATCACACATACGCCCGGCTGGCAAACACTCTCAAGCATGAAATACAACAGCTGATAAATAAATTCAGCTCATTTCTTTTGTTGTGAGAGATTAACGGAAGGAGCCCCAAAAGAGCGCGGGAGAGAGGGGCAGGAGGGCTCTCTCCTTGCTGCACCGAAAAAAAAAAAAAAGCTCGGAACATTTCTGACATCCTTTTAATGCGTTAATAATATTCAATGGAGAGTAATTTTGCATTTTTAAAAGTTACGTCAAATATGCATTTTAAACACAATTCATTTTAAATAAAATTTAAATGTATCGAAATAATCGTTTTTTCAGCTTATCAATATAATATATAAAACCGCTCATTCAACAAAATGTCATTTACATTTTTCTGTCTGCTTTTTAAATCGCCCTTAAATCAAGCAATTAACGCACCGAATTCGCCGCAAGTTCATAAACAGTTACATCGCCTGACAGTCGATCGTTTTAATAAATCGCCAGAGACAAAAGACACATTAAAAAAATGTTCAAAAGTCGGAAACTGGAGGGGCGGGTGAACCGAACGACAATCAAGTTAAAAGATTTTCGCCAATTAGCGCGTATAAAACTCAATTTATAACTGCAGTTTCATTAGTGCCATTACTGCCGACGTGTGTGCAAATATTTATGCATACCAGTAACTACAGACCTATGTATGTGCATATACATATCTTCTCATATACAAATATGTATATACTAGCCACAATATGCGATAATCAAATCGGGCACGTCTGCTTATTCAATCACGATTCGTTAAGTTATTAGCGGCCATCGAAAAAGACTCCGTATCTCCCGTGGCTCCCAAAATAGATTCCGCAGTGCATGTGACTCCTGACGAAGATCCCGTTAAAAAGTTACGTTTCCATTGCGACAAATTTATAGCTGCCTCTCGATCGCCCTGATATTTGATATCAGCGATATGACTTTGCACACGACCTATAGCTATATTTCTCTCTAGTCACCTGATGGACTCACAGATAAGTCAACAGATGGATCAAACCATCAAGCACGCTTTTGCTCTCTTAAATTATCAAAATAAGATCAAATAATACCTAATTGATTTGATAAGATCACCCCACGGTATTCAAAAATTTAAAGACGTTTCCGACAAACCCATTCAAATATTTTAAATTGCAACTGTACTTCAGAAACTTAACCTTCAGATATTTATTTACACAGTTGTTTTCTTTCCAGTTAGTACTCTATAATCACATGATGTACAAATCAAAAAATATTAATACATCAATCAGACCCCCTTTTTTTAATAATCGCTTGTCAATATAATTATTCCTAGTTTGTCTTAAGCCTAGAATCAATTCGTCAATTAATTGGTAAAGGCTGGTTCTTAAAATGTTTATAGGATTATTTTAATACTTTATGTATAAAAATCATTAGGTGCTGCATTAATACTTCTGAGTGTTTTTGTATTACAGTGTAATTTGTTAACAGTAAATTACAGTATGTCACTCTTAAATGTTAACACGCGCAGACCTTTAGGTAATGTTAATATTTACAACTGCTTGTAAACCGATTAAATAATTCCAGCTCTTTCCGTAGATCAATTTACAACGTGTAAGCGATAATTGCCAGTTCAAATCTTGCCCAACCCTCTACCAAGTGGTCACAATCAACGGGTCGTTGAGCGGTGATTCCGTGGCAACTTATCGAATGAATCTATCATAATAAAAATAATTAATTTTGCTGAATCGTGAGCAATCGGGCTTTAGACGTTCGGACAGGCTCGAGTGGCGCACGATCGGCGACGACCGCGCGAATATTGGCCAAATCAATTGTCGGCGGAAATGAGGAAAAATATCAATCATACGCACCGTGCGCCGCAGACAAAAGATTGCGCTCCTCGGAAGAAAGTGTGTCGAATACGCCAGAGGGCATAAATATCAGCATCGAAAGCACTCAAGGGCTATTTATAGAATTTGTCCGAGAGACAAGCATAATTCTCGGCATCCACATAGGAAATCCCCTCGGGTTCCGTTTTCTGGCTTTTGGCCAACTGAAATGAGTATGAGCAACAGCTCGGCCGGCTGAGCATTTAACACGTTTTTAATTAACTTATGGGCAAGTGAATTAGTGGATTGCCAAACCGAAATCGAGAATTCGAGACTTCGAGGCGCATTATGCAAATTTATGTCAAGGCAGAGGCAGGTGCAAGTCGTTGACTCTCGTTCTCTGGGAGAACGTTCTCATAAACAGAGCGGAGTTGCCGCGGCATTAGAGCTCGGTAAACAGGCATGCGTAATGTCAGGGGCGTTCATTTGGACACGGGTACTGCCGCAGATACCGAGACTCTATTCCCAATTAAGGCAGCCAGCATCTGAATCTGAATCAGTATCTGTATCTGTATCACACACGCTGAGCCAGAGGCAGCAGGCGGAAATAATATTTAATTGTCCACCCACTGACGGCGCTCAAATCAAAATAATTCAATTTTGTCATTTCAGGCAATCAAGTCAAAAGGTTTATCTCGCTCTAGTGACTCGGTTCTCAGTTCTCCATTCTCGATTCTCCATTCTCAGTGCGGCGACCAAGCGACCAACTGTCCAACAGACGTCACCTCCATTTGCATATCAAAATAACGTTCAAGTCGCAGCTATCAATGGACGGGGACACGTTTGACAAAAAAGCCAATAGAAAAACAAGAGAGAACGCTATAGTCGGGTGCCCTGACTATCAGATACCCGTTACTCAGGTAAAGGGAGTGCGAGGGAGATGGAGATAGAAACTTTGATCACGCATAACTTTTTAACGAATGGTCTGACTTGAAAAAGTTCTTCTACATTTCGATATGTATTGATAAACACAATAAAACTGCATTTTTACTTTTCCGAAATATTTAAATTTTTAAAATCGTATATAAGCGATTGTGGGCGTTAAAGGGGGCGTGGCACCTTTTTGAAACAAACTTGCGCTGCGTAGGAACTCCTAGAATCTGCATGCAAAATGCCAATCTTCTAGCTTTTATAGTTTCCGAGATCTCAGCGTTCATACGGACAGACAGACGGACAGACAGACGGACAGACGGACAGACGGACAGACGGACAGACAGACGGACAGACGGACATGGCTATATCGACTCGGCTAGTGACCCTGATCAAGAATATATATACTTTATAGGGTCGGAAACGCTTCCTTCTAGCTGTTACATACTTTTGCACGAATACGATATACCCTTTTACTCTACGAGTAACGGGTATAAAAACCACAAAACCAAGTCAGGGGGAAGTGCACCGAATGCTGTTTGTTTACCGACAACACATTGCCATCGAGATGTGTGGGCTCGGATTAAGTGTGTACATTCGTATATGTACACTTGCATTATTGCAAGTTCTTGGAAACTTCCACAAAATACGAAGATTTATATATACATTATTTGGGTTGAATAATAAATAGTGATATCTAAGCTTATTATTTTAGCTATTCGGTGCGCAACTTTGCTCTTGTATCATTAAAAAGTTCTTGGAAATTGTTTCACAATTAATTTACGTAAGAGTAGGGACGGAATGAGCTATTCGCTATTTAATTCATGAAGGATGACCACAAATAAATCAGGATAAAATTCTAGGAAATAATTATTTAATGTAAGAGCTTTGTGGAATGCTTATGAATACACAATTGAAATAATCTAATGCAGATGACTTTCCATAGATAAAGGTTTATAATTCCAAATTATTTCCATTCAAACTTGTTTTATAACTTTTTAGAATCGTTTTGTTTTAAATTATTAAAAAACAAAATGAAATATTATGAATTTAAACTAATTGTTATAATATGTTATTTACCATTTAAATATCTTTGAATTGAAAAACATTTCACTTAAATCTTAGTATAACAAAAAGGGCTGAACTAATAAAAAAAACTTGGTTGCTAATAGAGCTCGCTAATAAAAATACTTATAACAAGTGCCATTCAATATTGATTTAAAAATAGCATTGTTTGGAAATAGCGAGGAGACAATAATGTGGTCTTATTGTTATAATTTTTGCAAATAATATTTTATAAGAAAGAAACCCCCTTGTTTTCTAACAACAAGGCGTATGAGTAATGGAATATTACTCATACGCCAAGTGGGTCAAGACATAAGAGATCTTATCTCACTCACCTGGTTAGAGGTCCGGGTGATTCGCTAACCGCTTTGATGGATCGCCGGATTTGCCGGTGGAAGCTGCCCAAGATGGACTCCTTGCGTGAAAGTTGTGTTCCACTGCCGCTTGACTCGCCTCCCGTGGAGTTTATATTGGATGCATAAGTAGCGGTGCGCTTGTAGGCCTCCTCCAGGCAGACCGCTCCCTGCTCCCCGGCAACGACAGGACTGGTGGCTGCCACCAGTTGATCCACATTGAGGGGTGTCGTCTCCTTGGAGTCGCTATTGTTGCTACTGCTGCTGCTCATCTTGACTATAATCGCCTTATCCTTCTCCTCGGGCAACAGTTTCGCCCAGGCATTCTCGCCCACCAATTCCGATTTATCCACTATCATTTTTGGCATTGACTAGTTACGGCTAATAGTTGTTTAAATTAACTGGTACCCTTTGGTATTTATCTCGAGTAGTCGCCGACTGGGGGGAGTAATTGTTATAAGGGAAAATTGGAATAGCTGTTCAGGGCGCGTTTCTTTTGCAGTCTGGAACCGTGAGAGCCAATCATGGATGTTTCTTTGCTGGCGGCCACGTTGTTCTCTGCAACCAAATCGGAACACGAATGCGGGTTAGTGCTTAGTTTATATTCATATATTGGTTTCAAACATCTGGGGGAAATCCTGTACATCGGCACACCGCCCACATCCCATTCACACTTTTCAGTGTTCTCATCTCGCTTCCCGCTTTTA